TCAGCCTGTCCTCATAGGGGAGGTGCTCCAGCCCTCTGACCATCTTTGTGGCTCTCTTCTGAACTCTCTCCAGTAGGTCCAGGTCTTTTTTTATGTTGGGGGCCCCACAGCTGAACACAGTACTCCAGGTGGGGTCTCACAAGAGCAGAGTAGAGGGGGAGAATCACCTCCTTCGACCTGCTGCTAATGCTTCTTTTGATGCAGCCCAGGACATGATTGGCTTTTTGGGCTGCAAGCACACACTGCTATAGCTTCTCATCCACCAATATCCCCAAGTCCTTCTCCTCAGGGCTGCTCTCTATCCATTCTGCACCCAGCCTGTATTTGTGCTCGGGATCGCCTCGACCCACGTGCAGGACCTTGCACTTGGCCTTGTTAAATTTCATGAGGTTTGCATTGGCCCACCTCTCAAGCCTGTCCAGGTCCCTCTGGATGGCATCCCTTCCCTCCAGCGTGTCCACTGCACCACACAGCTTGGTGTCATCAGCAAACTTGCTGAGGGTGCACTCAATCCCACTGTCCATGTCGCCAACAAAGATGATAAACAACACTGGTCCCAATATCAACCCCTGCAGAACACCACTTGTCACCAGTCTCCACTTGGACATTGAGCCATTGACCACAACAATTTGAGTGCAGCCATCTAGCCAATGCCTTATCCAGCAAGTGGTCCTTCCATCAAATCCATGTCTCTCCAACTTAGAGACAAGGATGTCATGTGGGACTGTGTCAAAGGCTTTGCACAAGTCCAGGTAGATGATGTCAGTTGCCCTTCCTCTATCCACCAGCACTGTGGCCCTGTTGTAGAAGGCCACCAAATTCGTCAGGCACGATTTTCCCTTGGTAAATCTGTGTTGGTTCTCACTAGTCACCTACTTGTTTTCCATGTCCCTTAGCATAGATTCCAGGAGGATTTGCTCCATGATCTTGCCAGGCACATATGTGAGACTGACCAGCCTCTAGTTTCCCAGGCCTTTCTTATTTCCTTTTTTTAAAAATGGAGGTTATGTTTCCCCTTTTCCAGTCTGTGGGAACTTCACCAGAGTGCCACGACTTCTCAGGTATGATGGATAGTGGTTTGGCAACTTCATCTGCCAGTTCCCTCAGGACCCGCAGATGTATCTCATCAGGTCCCATGGACTTGTGCACCTTCAGGTTCTTTAGACGATTTTCTCTTCTAATCCAAAGGAAAGACCAAGTAAAATGATTCTTCTCCTGAAGAACAGGTATTCTTACCACTTGCCAGGGAACATCCTTCACTGAAAGTAATATCATCAATGGCGACAGTTTCATCTTGTCTCTGTGTCTCTACCATCCCCCAAAATATAACCTGCAGAGATTAACAGCAAATCAATAAGAAATGACATTCACGGCTGCCACAGACAAGAGGAAAAACCTCCCAAAATATGCCAGTCTAGTCCCCAGAGTTTCTATTGAAAATATGAGAACTCAAATAATGCACTTAAATTTTGGAGGACTACCATCCTGGCTTATTTACTTATCTATGGCTTGCCAGCACAGATGCATAGTCTAATCATCTAACTCAAGAATTAAACAACATTTAACAGGAAGGATCTGAAAACCACAATAAAATACATTAAAATCTAAGTAAGGATCACAACATTTAAGAAAAATAAAGGATTTTATATTTTATCAAGCCATTATTCCACCAGAGACTGGAAATGTGAACCTTTTCTTGTTGTTTTCAGAATTTATCACAGACCTAGAGCAAAGTCAGAGTAACAAACACCATTAGAGTCAGAAGCCTTTCATCAAATTTTTACCCAAAAAAACCCCCTGACGAGTACTTGGTTAACTGTTATTCTGCTTTAATGTGGCAACAATGGTTGGGAGGTTTTTTTACTAACAAAGTCTTCTAAACACAAGAAGCTATGAATATTTTACATTTTAATCTTAAAGGCAGATTTCAATCTACATTTGTAAATGTAGAGACTACTATAGTTTTGCTGCAGTGATGTATAAGGGGACTGATCAACCACACTCCTTGAGAAAACACAACAAAACAACACATCAATTAAAACCACCTAAGAAATCAATCGTATGAATAACATTCCTTAAATTATTCCCCAGCCATGTCTTAGGATGTTACAGCCCTAGGCTTTTCCAGAGTCCTGGAGGCACAATATACCTAGACGTACATTCTAGCTCTTCATTGAATGTGTAGTGTTAGCTAGATAATAAGTTTTCAAATAATAGCTTTAGAGTTCGGGGGCAATTTTGTGCATAGTTTAAGAAATTGTAGTAGAAAATCTGCATTTATCCTATAAATAAGCATCAAAAGTATAGTATTCCACTGTACAAGATGACACAACTCAGCTGAAGACATGACCATTATGTTATGAGTTTGGTTTTTTTGGATGGTGGAGTTTTTAGGGTTTTGGTTTTTTCAATTTTTTTTTTTTTAACTTAAGCTGTAGTTGACCTGCACAAGAAGTGTGGCAGCCTGTAAAGTCAAATTATCCTGGCATTGTACAACCAGAAGGAAGTGTAATGTTGTCTGCCATATCACCAGTGAGAGATCCATGTCTAGTTTATTTACATATATATTGATACATATTTTTTTAAGCAAAGAGAAAGATGATCAGTAACGACTTTCTCTGGTAATCATTGCACAAGGACCATTGTTAGCAGACACATGGATAACTGCATTTTCTAATATAGTATTGTTAAGAAATGCTGCCACCCTCTGTGTTCATTCTTCTTTGATCCACTGTAGCACATTGTAAAGAATGCAGTTCATTGAAATCCGAAGTCTTGAAGGAACAGTATTATGTTAAATAAAAAATTATTTTGATGTAAAGTTTATTTCACTTCGTGTTGATGTCTACTTGGAAAGAATAGTTATGTCACACTAAGTATTAATGACATTATATCACGTTTGTCAAAATATTTATATGACTGAAATACATTACATTTAATATTTGTTAATTTGTTTCCAAAATAAATATTTTGAATTATTGAAAGTTACTGCAACAACATGTACAGTTAATGTGTACTTTGATGACCTCAGCAGTGGAAGGACAAGTAGAATATTCACATTGTCAATTTCTATGATTACATGGCTTCAGATAAGGTTCTAAATCAATCCAGTGCACTGTTTTGTAATTAGAAACACAAGGAATATTATTTAATATCAAGGATTTAACAAATATTTGACCTTTTCACTGTGATTTTTCATTGTGAAGTCAAAGTCCAGTTATTAATTACTTCACTTATAATAGGTATTTATATATAGCTGGTGGTTAGGGCTTCTCAGTCAGATTTTATTTTTAAATGAGACAAAATGAGTTAGACAATATTAAAGAGTTATCTCACTTTGCTGGTGCGAAATCAGAGGTGGCTTCAAGATCATGTTCCTTTGGAGCATACAAAGTATTTAACAACTTGCATTTCCTCAAAACTCAAACAGTTTTTTTGTTCAATGTAATCAAAACCATGGATTTAAGAGACTTGCTTTAAATGTATACGTTATCAACATCTCTATGAAGAGCCCCCTGCTACTGATATTGTAGACATTCAATCCATCCTGGTATTCTGAACACCCAGGGGAATTTCTCCAGTGACAAAAGAAAACAGTTACTTCTATTCAAAAGTGACTACAGGAGGGGAGTCAGATGCCCTGAAGTCTATGAAGAGTTCACTGCTGACTAAACTGGGAGCAGACAGCTCTGAACCCATCTCATCCAGAATAGTGTTGGTTCTATTTTTTTCTTCATCATGTCTTAACTTCCCCACTTCCACACTTTCCTCAACAGAAATGAGGAAAAATAGTTTAGGAGAGCAAACCATGATACAGTTCTCTAAAACCCAGCCAAAACAGATATACTAAGCTTGTTGTGTGTTGAGTAATTAAAGCAGTGGTAATCTTTGTATTTCAGATTTTACACGTGGAGATTTTTGAAAGTCAAAACTAAATCCCCTACCCCTTAAAGACTTTACTTTTTTTGCTTGAGTAGGAAGAGACAAAAGTATTATATACTCAACATCAAAATGAGCAAATAAAGTAAGCAGTGGAGGTGGATTTTAATTAAAGTCTCACTTCAACTGTGCTTGCAAAATTGACAAATATATTGAAGCACCCTATTTCAAAGAGATTTCTACACCCAAAAAAGGGTTTTTTCCCCATTCATTTTTTACATATAAATTTTAATAATCATTAAGAAATCTAAGAAATCTGAATATATAACTAAAATATTCAATGCACATGGCAGTTTCTTGAAAAAATGGGATGTCAGTTCATTATAAGGTTAAAGATTATTTAAATGGTATTTAAAGATTATTTAAAAGATATTTTCTATGCTGTTGCAATAAATCAGTATGATTACTAATAATTTGACTACAGCTTTTTTCTAGTTTATTTGTGCAGAGCTTGAAACTTTATCCTGAAAAATGCCACAGGTAACCCTGGAGGCTAAAGATCTTGTCATATCAAAAGAATAAGTGTAAAAGATCAAGTGAATCACATTCACTTACATGACCAGCATCTTGCAAGCTGTCTCTGGATGAAACGTGCAGCCAAAAGAGAAAATTTGCTCAGCTTCAGTCTCTAGGTTTGATGAGGTGCCCATCTACATTTAGTTAGCCAATTGTAATGGTTACTGCAGTAAGTTTGACACACGCCTCTTTAAAGCTGGGCTGTGCCCATCAGTTCACTTAGAGGCCAAAGGATAACAAGGTTTGCAAACAACAATCTAATTAGGATTTGATCCAGAAATTTAGAGGAAGATGATACCATATTATAATAACCATTCCCAGTCTCAGTCAATTTTCTAAACAATATGAAGGATGACAAAGTAAATCTAGAAATAAACCCTTCCAGTACAAACTCACATTTCTATATATACACTCACATGAGGCAGAGGTAACTTATTGACAAGTAACAAGATTGGTACTTGTGTTGAGTTGGGTACAGGTATTTTGTAACACACACTCTCAGCAAGGTTGAACAGACAAGTATTAACTCAAAAATCCAGATCTTGTTGGATGCTTTAGCACAATATTACCACCTCTGCAAGTCAAGTAGTTTTGTTATTCATATGGTGTATTGAAGAGATTGTGCTCTCATGCCTTCAGGTTTGTATGCTAACCAACTTTTCACAGTAACTACTGTAGAAGGAAATGCCTCCGATTTTCTTCTCTGCTCCCCACCTTCCCTCCAGTATTATTGAGTATACATCATCCATGATCTTGTAGCCCTGTACTAATGTTTTGTGTAAATGCACATGTTAAAACACCTAAATGCCCTGTGAGAATTGCACTGACTTTCAGCAGCTTTGAACAAAATAAAACCATATGCATGTGTTCTGTGACAAAGGCTCAAAGCTACAATGAATAGCTAAGCATAGTATTTTTCACCTGAAGGACCCCCATAGATTAGTGTCTCTTCTACAGATATAAATTAAACCTTAAGTTTAACAGTACCGCTAGATTGAGGCTAAGGGAACACCATATTGAAAGTTAAGATCCCAAGTATACCCCCTCTATGGACAGGTAGACAATTTATGATACAATGAAACTGTTTTATTTAAGACACCTACACAGTTTGAATAAGGTTTGGTATTAGTTTTAACAGTACCAAGACATAAGAACAAGAAGTATTCGTTAATGCCAACCATGAGCTTCCAAAAGCCTTCTCCCTCTTTTACCTGATGTTAATGTTTTTTATTTATAAAATAGTTAGTTTTGAATTATTAAAGCAACCCCACAATTTATAAACCATGTAACAAGTGCAATTTACAGTCACCTCAATTTACCAACCTCATACTTTTCAGTGCTGTGGATTATGATGGTACTTGCTTTCCACTGATTTTGTAGTTCTCCTGAATCTTGCCAGATGTTTGTAATAGTATCTTCAGAGTGCTTTTGAAGCCCGACAATCAATGTTCCACTTGTTTGGCTGATCCAATAATGAAATGTAATCTAGGACAAAAAAGCATCCAATTATTCCAGGGAAGTACAATGACAATGAAATAGAAGGACTATGCATCAAAATACCTGGCAAACATGTTCTTCATCAGTTGGAAGGAAAACATTGGTCCTTAAAGTTGCAGAAGAGGATGGCATTTCAGAGGACAATGAGAGAAAATAAGCTATTAAAAAGAATAAAAAAGAAATCTTAGAAACTTGGAGAAAAGTAATATAAAATATAATAGTAAAACAAGAAAAGGTACGTATGTAGGTATGAATTAATAACTAAAAAACCAACTAGAAGTTTTTCCCCAGAAAAGATTCATATCACACTTGTAGCCATTGTATGCCAAGCTGTTGTTCATATTAAATAGACATAGTTTTTTTTTCTGAAATGCCAGCTAGGGTTCCAAAATATTTCATGTGCTGAAAGCTTCAATACCTAATTAATAAGTGCAAAATTTTGAGATGAAGCTAAGACTAACTCAGCAATCTGATCAAAGAGCTTAAATCCCGTTATTGAACAGATTGCATGTTTCATGCCTAAACAACAAACAGTTGTGACCAACAATACAGATTTATTACAACAGTTCAAGTCTTTAATGAGATGGTGGAAGATGCGAGAGGTGGCTATAGTGTTCCTCTGCTCCACAGGACACAGGTCTGCTTTTTGGTTGCTCAGAAAATTACCTCACTGTAGAGAGAAGGTTGTGGTATCTCTGTACACACGCCCAATATGAAGGGTTGTCCTCAGAATCTCCACACCACCATTAAAGATACCATTATCTTTCAAAACATCCAAATAAAGGTTTGCTTCACTTGGAATTGTAACATCTCAACAAGAGTCAGTGAAACATGTTAGTTGATATACCTTTTGACCGACCGTGTCTCTTCCTGACAGTATTGTTTCAGATCTTCTAAAAGATGGAAAGCAACCACTCTATTTTAGGATATCAAATACTGCTAGTCAAAATTTGGCCCTTCCTGGACATGAAGATTTCAGAGAGGTTAGATGTTAAATGATGCAGTGGAAGGAAAAAAAAAATAATTTTTCTTTTTCTTCCTTTCCCTTCTCTCCTCCTTCACAAATTCCAAACAATGTCAGATAAACTGACATTAAAGATTTAAGTTGGTCTCTAACATTAACAGGTAAATAAAAGGAGAAACATAAAGAAAGGAGAAAAACACCAAGTGGAACAGAAGGGGGAAAAAAAACCCACTAAAAATAAAGTTTACTACAGAAATCAAATATCAAAGGTTATGTAGGAAAATCTAAATACTGCATTTATAAAACTATCCCCTCTGACCTCTCATCCTTGCATGCAACTGGAAAGCCATTGACAAAGGACCGTAAGACTAGCTCAGTGCTGGACCCAGCTGAGCAATGCCCCACAGAGAAGCACTTTACAACCTGCTACCAGAGCAGTGGCTGTGCTCCGCCCCCCACCCCTAGGTTTTAGGCCTTTCATGACTGCTCAGGCAGCACTTTCAGAGCCTGCCAGCTGCAAGGATAGTCTTTCTACCCACAGCAGATGGCTTGATGCCTCAGCAGAGCCCTATCCCTGACTCCAAAGGTTTTTTAGCTTCCATAAAATTTTGAACATTTTTCTTTTAGTTCCCTAAATATAAATGTATCTAAGACCCATAAATAACAAATTTCACCTGCCATAGGAATTTTAAGTCTTCACAGATGGGGTAGAAGTGGTAATTTTAAGAAATTGTTTGAACAGCGATTTTGCTTTAAACCTCTGCATAGATAACAGGTTTCAATGAGTAAAAAAAAAAAGGTTTGTTTTGGGGTTTTTTTAGTGGTTGTCACTAGTCTGTTCAACTGTATTTTCAGTGAAAATAAGAACCATAAGGAGAGACAGAGCTAAACAAAACCTGTTACATTCTAGTAAATGATTAAATAAATCTTCAAAGGAATTACATCCATATCAAATGATCTTTGCTCTTCTGCTAAAGTGTGTGCAATTATTTATCCAGATGGCAGGAACTCTTCCCTTTAATGCTCTGACATAGAACATACTCCGCCCCATTGTCACCATACAATATAATTTCTGGTCTTTAAGCAGGAACCAACATAAAGCTGATTACACAGTCTGTTGAGTCACCAGCAGTGCAAAAACTTGAATAGCTGCCATACAGAAATAAATATTTCCTAGGAGATTAGAACTAGCATTCAGAAAATGAAAGCACAGTTTAGCCATTCTCCAGCTAGAAAACCAAAATAACTAAATACACTTTACTCTCCTTAGCCATTCAGTTCACAGATCTGGGTACACAGCCTCTCATCAACCCTACTATTCAAGCTTTCTATTATCTGATCAAAATAACTTAAATTAATATAACTACCATACAATTCAGACCTGGGAGGTACAATGGTGACTGACCATCCAAAACAAATCAACAGGAATATACAGGTGACTGAACAGTTTGCTTCCTCTGTAACAAACTCTTTAAGTTGACAGTTCTCAATCTTTTGTTGGCTTTGGGCATCTGCATACATTAAATTTTCACCTCCCCAGCTGTTCTGCGCAAGATAAAGATAATGTTTTTTACTGGATATAGGCAAGAATCTCTTTCAGGTCTTTGCTACATCCTGATGTGGTGTATACTAACAATCCAGCACAAACGTCAGAAACTTCAACTGCAGCAAGAGTCTGCTGCCTGGTTAATTAATTATGATGCTACCAAAAAGTTTGCTATATTTTTATTCTATACTATTTATCCTTCACCTGATTGGTGATGGGATGTTGAGCTTCTCATCAACCAACACCCCCAAATCCTTTTCCTCAGAGCTGCTCTCAAGCCATTCTCCGTCCAGCCTGTATTTGTCTTGGGATTGCCTCGACCCACATACAGCACCTCGCAGTTGGCCTTGTTAAATTTCATGAAGCTTGCATTGGCCCACCTCTCAAGCCTGTCCAGGTCCCTCTGGATGGCATCCCTTCCCTCCAACATGTCCACCACACCACACAGCTTGGCGCTGTCAGCAAACATGCTGAGGGTGCACTTGGTCCCACTGTCTATGTCTCCAACAAAGATGTTAAATACCACCAGTCCCAACACTGACCCCTACAGAAGGCCACTTGTCACCATTCCATACCATATGACATTATGCTCAGCAATAAAACTAGAGGGGAGGCTGATGGGGGGGGGGGGCACTTCTCAGGCACTGGGTGGGCATCAATCAGTTTGGGGTGAGAGACTATTTTCATTTGCATCACTTGACTGTTTTTGGTTTTATTTTTCTCTGGCCTTGTAATTTTCTTCTTCTTTTTGTTACAATTTTAGAAAAAAATATTATTATTTCATTGTAATTATTAGAGAGTTTTTATCTCAATCCAGGAGTTTGCTACTTTTAGACTTCCAATTCTATCCCTCATACTACTGAGCAGGCGGTGGTGGGAGGGGAGTGAGCAAGAAGCTGTGTGGTGCTTATTGCCAGATGGGGTTAAACCAAAACAGTCTTTTTTTGGGACCCATACCAGGGCACAGAGGATTTGAGATAACAGATTTGACTAGAGTGTAATAGAAGGGATATCTGTTAACCGTTGCAGGTGACAATATTAATTAATCTGTTCGTGATACCAGTTTGTCTGATCCGCACCATGCTCTTTTTTTTGCTGTACATGTTAAAGATCGGTGTTGACTTTTACAGAATGCGTTTGTATGCTAAACTTAAGCAAAACATGAAGTTGTTAGCAGCACAGTGCATGGTAAGGATTCCTCATTACAGAGCACAGTGAAAGCTGTCAGCTGTGGAATGAGAACTTGCGAGAAAGCATAGAGGGATATTTTTTTTAATATATAATTAATAGGGGGTTTTTAATGAAAAAAAGTTTTACAGTTCTGTGCCATTTTCATTTTGCTGATTTCTCAGTTTTTCATGCATTCATCTTTAAATCACCAGTTGATATTAATCATTACATGGAACTTCTATCTGCTTGGTAGCTTATGCAATTTGTAGGAGGAGCCACTTGCTTCACAACAGTACAGATTTCCACACCCCCAGATAATCAGTTTGGGAACAAGGTGAAAAACACCTAGGCTAATCAGGCTCAGAATGACACTTGAGTCCCACATAAGGTTATATTCTTGTACACTCTCCAACGCTGCACGCCTGCCTTCAGGAGTGTGCTCTGAAGGCTGCTGCACTATTGCATGTGTGCAGGAGAGCTGAGAGGGGGTGGG